TTTGCTAAGGATAATTTTTCCTCGCTTAACAGCCTTTGTCTAAGGCTTTTGTCCTTTATCCCTGCTATAATGCGATCCAGTATGGCGACATTTTTAAAATTTTCAAAGCCGCAAAATTCGGCCTGCAATTTAAGGGACAAAACGAAATCTTCCGTGGTCTCGTCTGGATTTTGGACCCTGGTGCTAAATTTATACCTTTGTACTAAATCAGGATCTATTTTATCTAGACGACTTTTGAGTTTGGCAACCAAATCGTCAAAAGCCGCCTGTTCAAAATTTCCCGCCGGATAAAGAAGCTTGATTTCTTCGAACATGACTGGCCCGCTCAACGTAACGAAATAGGCCATCCTGTCTTCATCCTTCACTTTGTTTACCCGGAAGAAATATTTCAAACGAGTAAACCAATCGTTGAAGGAGGTTCCACGACGATATGGTTCAATCGTAAAGGCCACGTTAGAAGAACTCATTTTTCTTTTTCTTTTTTTTATATGTAAGGAAAGTTTTTAAAAGCACACTATTCGTTCCCCAATAAAATGGCTAAAAAGAAAATGACTGCAGTCAGCACAATATGGTCATTACCCAATACCAGAAAGGAAAGGAGAAAAAATGGAACCTAATTGAAAGGTACTTCCAACAAAGGATAAAGAAACAAAAGGTTTTCCACTCACCGACCGAAAACAAAATGTCTTTGCCGACCTTCAGCCGACCTTTTCAAACAAGCGCCGGATATCCTGGCACCGGAGTAGAGTCACCGGCTATGCAGTTCTTTGCCTACGCTGAGAATCCTCTTCCGCCTTGGAGAAGTGTGTTATCACTGGCCCCGTAAGGGAAACTCACCCTCCGTTCCGGCAAGTCTCGTGATATGGTCACTCCGGATGGATTTAGCGGCCACTATCCAGTTTTAATTTACCTGCCGAACGGTTCTTTTGCCTCCGCTAAAACCCGAAAAATACCGGCGGCTTTTACCTCGGCTAAACTAGTCCCTCCTGGGAAAGAAAATATCTCTCCGCTTGATGACCACTATGCCTCCGTATGCACCCGCCGCTGTTGTACACACTCGATGCTGCTGGCGTACTTTTTTTTTTTTTTTTTTTTGCACGAATAGCACTGCGGTTTCACTTTTCACCAAATCGCACGCGAAAACAAAAAGGTGAAGGGAATCGTTTCCTACCCGTCGCCACTTTTATGTTCGTATGGCAAGTATTAATTTCACTGGGAATGGAGGAGAAACTACCGGACCGTATAATGAAAATAGACTAGTTTGCTTTAAGCTCACGAGTCAACTGAACTCTTCCGTATATTTTGTTTATCTTTTTATGCTGCCAGCAGTGCTGCCAGTTGGGCGTAAACAAAACATCGCAGCGTCACTTGACAGCTTGACGCTGTGATAAATGCGCCGGTATGCCACACAGCTCACCGTGAAGAAACGCCGTCTTCACATCCATTTGGTGGAAATGGAACCCTTTTTGAACACCTACAGCCAGCACAATACGGATTGTCATCAGCTTCGCCACAGGTGCGTAGGTTTCGTTGTAGTCCAAACCGGCTTTCTGCAAGAAACCTTTGACGACCAACCTTGCTTTATAGCGCACAGGGTTTCCTTCTTCATCCTCTTTCGTGCGGAAGATCCACTTTGACTGCAGCGGTTTGACGCCGGTTGGGCATGGCACCAATTCCCATATCTTGTTGGCCTCCAGGGATTTCAGTTCTTCATCGATTGCATCCAGCCCCAGTTTTTGGTCATTCCGCGCGTTGATTTCATCGTACGAATCCGGGAAATCTGGGAATTTTGAAATTTTTCCAGCAGACGTTGCTCTGAACCCAGTTAGAAAGTCAAGAAACTTACCTGGGAGCCTGCGCTCCCGTTCACCACGCCTAGTGTTTGACTCTGAACAGTCTTCACCTCTTGATTGTGAAGGGAGCGCCCCAGGTTTTTCAAGTTGCTCCTCAGGTTGTTCGTCTAGTTCAACCTCATCCTCGTCATCACTTAGCACAGGCATCGCGTCTTCGAACTCAACTTGCTGGTCATCTGGCTGCTCTTCCAATTCAGCTTGCTGGTCATCTTCAACGGCCGGATACAGCATTGGAATCACCAACGGTACCCTCGAATCTTGACTGTCTTCAAAAGCGTACGGCAATGAATGTGAATTTGATGTCACGGGCTACGAGGATTTTTCTTGACGTTCTATCCCAAAGGCGGTATCCGTTGGGAGCATAGCCCACCATCACCGCCTCGCGACTCTTGTTGTCCAGCTTTTTCCGGAGTTGACCTGGCACCCATGCAAATGCTTTGCATCCGAAAATCCTCAATTTCGATAGATCAGGTTTCACACCGGTCCAATACTCAGCAGGCGTACGGTTGTCCGATAGAGCAGCAGTAGGGCAACGATTTAATATATACGTACCGGTAAGCACTGCTTCCGACCACATGTACTTGGGCATATTCGAGTCGATCAGCATTGTCCTTACCTTTTCAATTAGCGTTCGATTGAACCTCTCGGCAACTCCGTTCTGTTGCGGAGAATATGCTACGGTTGGCTGGATTTGAATCCCCTTTCGCTTGTAGAATGCTTCTTGTTCCTTAGAGCCGTACTCACGCCCTTGATCCACGGTTAGCTTGCTGATTCGTTTTTCGAACTGGGCGGTCACCATCGCTTCGTATTCTTGAAAACGACCAAAAACCTCGGACTTCTTCTTCATCACATAGATACACGCAAAGTGACTATAATCGTCGATGAATGAAACAAAATACTTCGATCCATCCCAGGCCGGAGGATTGATTGGTCCACACACGTCCGAGTGAATCCGCTCTAGTAGACGACTAGCTCTTTCACGAGTTCCGTCGAAGGGTTCTCTGCATTGCTTACCGAGCACGCAAGTGTCACAGAACCCGATAGCATTGACCTTCGGACCAAATCCTTCCGCCACACTATACCGGGCCAACGTGTTCATCGTGGTCTGACTGGCGTGACCCAAACGACGATGCCAGAGTTTTCCAGCGTCCGATGCGCATAGATTTGCGGTAGCTCCTGACACGTCCAAGTTTAAATCCAATTCGTACAAATTACCTCGTAGATGCGCTACTCCAATTACTGAGTCATTCTTTTTCATCATCGCTTGATGCTTTCCACCACGGCTTGTGAATAGTACGTCGATTCCCGCTTGGGACATCTTCTTCACGGATAGCAGGTTTCCTCTCAGCTCGGGCACGAAAATCACATTTTTCATTTCAAACTTCACACCTTCTCTTGATAGTCCAGTAACTTCACCTTCGTAGTTTCCGATAATTGAAACACCATATTTGGCTACATCGATCACGAACGGTTGTTTGAGTTTCCTCACCGACTGCATGCATTCCAAAGTGTTCACCAGATGGTCGCTGCATCCAGAATCCACAACGAAAACTGACCTCTTATGTTCCGTCTTCGTCGGCATCTTGTTCACCATGAATGAAACTGATTGGCTGTTAACGGCCGCATTCACCTTACCTTCTGGCTTCTTAACATAGCAATCTTTTTGCATATGTCCCACCTTTCCGCAACGATGGCATTTTCCGGTAAACTTTTTGGTCTTCTTATTTCGTCCTCCGACAAACGCTGCACTCCTATCTTCACAAGAATCTTCCATCCGATCAGACCGCTTGGATTCCTCCGCCAACAATCGTTGCTTCACGGTTTCCAACGTCAGGTCCTTTTCGTTTATATTCTCTAAAGCTGTTACCAGCGGTCTTGAGCTGCCGTACGATGTCGTCGAACTGCTGGAAATGATGCCCTCCTTCATCCGAAGTCTTGCCAGTTGCTTCCGTAACAGAGTCTGACTTGCCACAGACTTCTTCGCGAAGGTGTCTTCGAGTGCCTTCCACATATCGCGAGCCGTCTCCTTGTCCCGTACTATGCCAAGACATTCATCGGAAAGGAATCCGACCAGTAGTGACTTCGCTTTCCGATCTGTCTGCATAAACTTCGCTCTTCCAGCATCCGTTGCACCAGGAACTTGCCCCGTAAGCGCTTCTGAAACTTCCGCCGCATCCAGGTAGAGTTGAACGCGAAAACGCCAGTTCTCAAAGTTCGATCCGTTTAGCTGCGGAATTCCAGAGCCTTCCTTCGTAGACGAGCCCATAACCTAAAGGAATACGGTGCGGATGGGGCGGACAGGAAATAACCAGGACAACACTTAACAATGAACAAGTTTTATTAACGATAAAGTTATCTTGGTATGACTGCTCTCTTCAGTGTCTTGATATGGAATAACGCTAGAAAATTGATTGGATTGTTCAAGACAGCAATCCAACGCCTACTTTGTTAACAATAATAAATCCAGGGGCCATTCGAGAAGCGATCCTGGGACCTGGAAACCGAACGGAATTTAGATACCGAAAGTTCAGAATCGCAATCATACTCGCCTGAAGTTGCAGGCCAAAAGACCCCGATTTTTGTTGTTGTTTTGCTTGACAGCAGCATTTCGGTTTCGCACCTCCATATGTTGCTGTGATGCGAAGAGTGAGAAAGCGAATGACACTGATCTTGCTAGCTGAGCAATGTGAGTTACTCGAGGTGTCCCTTCGCTTCGATCTATATACTAGGCTCTATGGGGTGATTACACTTATGCTATTTCACTAGCGCTATTGAACCAGCTGCTAGCAAAACAGCTCACCAGCATAATGTAAGCAGGGCATCAGCGTCTATCAGCAAGAGATTTCAGGAGCAACTGAACTTCGTGCTAGTTGGCCAGCATATTCGCACAGATTTAAACACCACATTAGTGACAACCTGCGACGAGAAGTCAATTCGTATGACGAAGTAAATCCAGTGACGTTCCTATGTGTTTGTACGAAATTGAAACCCGTAGCATCCGTAGGTCAAATTTCCAATCAAGCAGCAGTCTTGTATTTTTAATCAAATAAAAACAATATGTCAAAACTCCAACGGTACATTTGGAGTGGTAAATACATTTAGCCAATAAAGTCATTTAAGTTTTACTTTTTTTCTTCTTCTTTCCAGACCGCCGGCATCCTGGGCAACTTTGCCGTCAACATCATGTCGCTGCTGTACTTTCTGCAGGTGTTCATCGACGATACGCACACTTCGGCTGCCTTGTGGACCGTTTCGCTCATATCGCCGACGGGTTTTGCCCTGGCCATGGACAAGATCCTGGTGCTGGACATCTCCGGCCAAGGCGTCACGCTGGACAATCTGTGGACCGGTCCGGGGATCCCGATCGGCGGATCGATTCTGATGCTGGTGGTAGACATCCTGCTGTACGCCGGATTGGCATTCTACTTTGACTGCGTCATACCGTCGGACCATGGGACGAAGCAGCGGCCGTGTTTCTGCCTGAGTCGACATTACTGGTGCAAGAAGAAAGTGCCAAAGGTGCCGCTGTTGAACGGGGAATCGGCGAATTCTTTCAACAATCTGGACGAACAGGCGAGGGACGTGGAGCCGGTGTCGCGGGAAATGCGAGGCAAGGAAGCCATTAGGATAGTCGATCTGTACAAGACGTTCCATTCGTGTCGGAAACCGGCGGTGAATGCGGTTAACGGGATCAACTTGACGATCTACGAGGGACAGATTACGGCGATTCTGGGACATAACGGAGCCGGGAAGAGTACGCTGTTCAATATTCTGACGGGGTTGACGTCGCCTACATCGGGGACAGTGTACATCTTTGGGTATGATATCCGGGATCCGAACGATATGACGATGATCCGGAGGATGACGGGCGTGTGCCCACAGCATGACATACTGTTCGAGACACTAACTCCGAAGGAGCATCTGTACTTTTTCGCGGCGGTGCGTGGAATCGCCCCGAACTTGGTGGACAGTGAGGTGAAGAAGACGCTGAGGGATATCGATCTGTTTGATTCGGCAGAGACGAGGGTGAAGTACTTGAGTGGAGGGCAAAAGCGGAAACTTTCGGTGGGCATTGCGATCATTGGGGATCCGAAGATTATCATTCTGGATGAGCCGACGGCGGGCGTAGATCCGTACTCGAGGAGGCATATGTGGTCGATATTGCAGAATCGGAAACATGGCAAAGTGATCCTGCTGACGACGCACTTCATGGACGAGGCGGATATATTGGCGGAGAGGAAGGCGGTCGTTTCGAGAGGCAGGTTGAGGTGTTGTGGATCGTCGTTGTTCTTGAAGAACAAGTTTGGAATTGGGTACCACTTGACGTTGGTGCTGGATTCGAATTCGTGCGAGGTGGCGATTACAAAGTTGGTGAATGAGCATGTGGCCAAAGCGGAAAAGGCAAGACGCCATGGGCGAGAGCTGAGCTATATTCTACCGCACGATGCGGTAAACTCGTTCGTATCGTTGTTTGACGATATAGAGCAGGAGATCAAGACGAAACAAATGAATCTGGGTATTTGTTCATACGGAGTGTCGATGACGACTTTGGAGGAGGTTTTCCTGCATTTGGAGACCCAGAGGGAGGAAGAGCAGAAGGTGGAAACAGAGGATGACGACGAGCAGGACAGTGGCTATGCGGTGGACAGCTTGAGTCGAAAAGTCATGAAGAACCGAGCATTGCCGAGGAGTCTGTCGCTGCAGGAACGGAGCAATAGCTATCAATCGTTGAAGAATGATACGAAGAATTTGCTGGAGGAACAGAATCTTGATAATAAGATTTCGCTGCCGGACAATGGACTGGATTTCGATACAATCATACCGATCAATGGACTGACGAACGACGTTGAGGTTGTACAGAGTGAGAAGCATTCGGCGGGGGTGTCTCCGAGCATGAAGACGCAGCGCAAACGGCAGCACAGTAGATCGCGCAATGGAGTTAGCAAGAGCACCAAGAGCGTCTACGAGGATGCCGCCAATAATTCGTCGTCGGTTGTGAAGCTAAACAGTCAAAACAAGACCAACTGGATGGACTTGGAGGACATCGTGCTGAAGCCGTCTTGTATGAACACCATTGTAGCGCTGCTGAAGCTTAGAATTACAATACTCTTTCGTGACATTCAGCGTCTCTATCTGTTAATCATATTACCCCTAGCGTTTACGGCATTAGGTTTATACTTGAACTCGATCCAGGTGATTTCGCCGGTGATGCGTTCAATACTCCTAGATAATACAACGTACGGTAGCAATATTACCAAGATAGCAGTACATGATAATACCAATAGACTGTTTTCGCAACATAACCTCTACCATCATCTTCTGCAGCAGCAGCAGCAATCATCTCCCTCGCCTCTGCTGCTCCATCAGAAGCACCATCAACACCTGCACAACGCTCAGCAGCAATCCAAAGAAGCATCATATCTCTACCATCATTTCATTGCCGAACTGAAGCAATCGTCGAACGTCACCGAAGACTACAACGGCAACTTCTCGTTACTACTGGACATTGCACCCCACATGGCCGCGTTCAACATCAATTCAATATCATCGACGAATGTGTCAATAACTACCTTGTACAATGATACCACTCAGCATAGTCTACCAATAATATTAAACCTAATTAGCAATAGCCTGATGCGAATATTTGTCGAACTAAACCAGCAGTCCATCTACCGGCACCAAAGAATCAACTACGTCGACGAACGTGTCGCTGAAGATCCGTTCGATTCGACCTCCTCAATCACCCCTCCCTCGACGGCCTCGCCGGAGTCGATCCTCAACATCGAACTTCGCTCTCATCCGTTCCAGCAGACGACCCAACCGCAGGAGTTCAACATCGGTACCTTCTCGTCGGCGCTGTTTGTCGGAATGATCTTCGTCCTCATTCCGGTCTCGCTCGCCGTCGATATGGTGTACGATCGGGAGATGAAGGCCCGCAACCAACTGCGCGTCAACGGGCTCTCCTCGGCTCTCTACCTGTCGGCGTACTTTATCGTCCTGTCCGTGCTGATGGTGCTGATTTGTGCTGCCCTGCTTGGGCTGGTGTTTCTGTTCGATATCCCGTCCTTCCGGCAGGTAGGGGTCGGTCAACTGGGAGTTTTAGAAACTAAGCATAACAACTTGTTCTGTATTTTTAGCCCCCGGCGCTGATCACCCTCGGATTGCTGGTGTTCCTGTACTCACCGGCTGGGATCCTCTGTTCGACGTGCTTTTCCTACTTCTTCGATCGGACTGACTCGGCGCAGTCTATTCTACCGAATATTCTAACCTTCGTCGGATTGATTCCTTTTATATTGGTAGTGTTTTTAGATATGCTAGGAATTGGTGAGTATTGCAATATATAGCATTGCGGAGTTATTCTAACCATCCAACTTTCTTCGCAGAGGTAAAAGCAGCGTTTGCCTTACACTTTGTGTTTTCGCTGATCAACCCGATGTACATCCCGTATGCCACGGTGTACTTCGTCGATCGGGTTTACATCGCATGCCAGCTGAGCTCCGCCTGCGCAGAACTTTCGATGGCTCACTACATGACCGAGGAGATGATCGTCATGGCCTGCGGTTGTCTGCTACATATCCCCATTTGGGCATTCTGCCTGCGAGTGTCGGACGTAATGAAGAGCGGTGGCCGCGTACGAGACCTGTTCCATCGCACTGCGGTAATTAGGGGGGATTACTAAGGCTAGTGGGTTCGTAATTGGTGATGCCTATGGTTGTTAATTTCAGAGCGAAGAGGACGTGATGGCCGAGGATCAATGCATCGGCGAGCATGAGGATGAAGACGTTCGGAACGAACGGTCCAAGGTATTCCGGTTGACCACTCAGGATCAAACCGGGCAGACCCAACCAGTGGTCGTGGTGAAGGTTAGTTGAACTGAATTACTCCAGGACCGTTCGCTCAATTTAATCATGGATTTATCATTGCAGAGCTTACGAAAGGAATTCTCACAGGAATCGCTCTGTGGGAACTGTTGCTGCTGCGCAGACGACGAACCTCCCCGCAAAAAAGTATCCGTGCGCAGTTTATCGTTTACAGTGGATGCTGGTGAAGTGCTGGGTCTGCTGGGTCACAACGGGGCGGGCAAGACGACCACCATGAAAATTATGACGGGCGAAACGGTACCCACGAGGGGGACAGTTCGCGTTGCCGGCCACAGCATAACCATCAACCAGGACGACGCGTTCAAAACGCTGGGCTACTGTCCGCAGCACGACGCACTCTGGAAGAACATTACCGTCCGGGAACACCTGGAACTGTACGCTCGCATTCGTGGGGTATCGAGAAAGGACATGAACCGGCTGATTACCACCTATCTCAAGGGACTGCACATAAGCGAGCATGCCAACAAGCAAACGCAACACTGTTCCGGCGGAACCCGTAGGAAACTTAGCTACGCTATGGCGATGGTTGGTTCACCGAAGGTGGTCCTGCTGGACGAACCATCCACCGGGATGGATCCTAAATCGAAGCGATTCCTGTGGGACACCATCCTGGCCAGCTTCCACGGAAAGCGTTGCGCCATGCTGACGACCCACTCGATGGAGGAAGCGGATGCTCTTTGTTCACGTGTCGCAATCATGGTCAAGGGGGAATTGAGGTATTGATGCTCCATGACGCTCCAACTGGGCAAACACCTACATAATTCTTTCTGATTTGATTTCCCACAGATGCCTCGGTTCGACGCAGCACCTGAAGAACCTGTACGGTGCGGGGTACACACTCGAGATCAAGCTGAAGCATATCGAAAGTGTGTACAGCGAGACGCCGATCGAGAGCCAACCCAGCAGCAGCCAGGAGCAGTTGCAGCTCGATCAGAGCAGCGTGGACCACATCGGGCCGGTGCCGGTCATCAGCAACTGCATCGACAACCGATCGATGGCGTTGCGCAACTTTGTGACTGATCTGTTCCCTAGTGCCACCCTGGAGGAGAGCTTCGCCGATCGGTTGGTGTACTCGGTGCCCCAGCAGGCAGTCAGCTCGCTGGCCGAGTGCTTCTCGCGGCTAGAGAAAGGTAGGTGAAATTCATTACGGAACTTTGCAGAACTAGTGCGCGCAGGGTTCTATTGTCACCGGGACGTGACTGCGATGCAAATAGCTTAAAAGCAGACATTTAATCTCGACCGTCTCGAATGTGGAAGATACTTAGCAAAAGTGTTGTTTATGGGCAAATAATTCACATTTGTGTTTCTATTCGGTCAAACTAAATGTTTCAAATTTCCAGTTTAAAAATAAGTAACGATTAGACTTGTGTGCCGATTTTTTTTTAAATATTCTATGTATCAACTAGAATTTACATTTTGTAATGTGCGCGATCTCCAAAGCTTTTCAAAGTCTCTGATATTTTAAATTTCATTTGCTGGATCTAACAAAAAATAATCCAAGCTTGAAGAAATTTTCACGATTCTTCAACGAAGATCCCAGATTAAGGTTCATGGGCTTGAAGAAAATATTTATGATTCTGGAATTTCTAAGGAGTATTATTGAGACCTCCATTAGCTCAGTCGATAAAGACGCAGCTACACAACCAGACTAACGGGTGTTCAATAAAAAATGAGAATTTTTCAGTCATATAGCTAGTAAAAAAAAATTTCATTGAATTAAGAATTTTTTATTGAAAACATAATGTTTATTCTTCAAAAAACGTCAATGAATATTGGAGAAGGGGCCCCTGGTCAGCAGTACGACGCAACTTAGTCGCGATGCTCTCACAAGAGCGCTGGACGGCACTGAAATTATTCTCATTTTTTATTGAACACCCGTTATGCTGGAGATGACTGGGTTTGATTCCCGGTCCGGTCTAGGAATTTTCCGGATTGGAAAATTTCTCGACTTTCCTGGGCATAGATTATATGGTTGTTACTTGCCACACAATTATGCTAATGCAAAAATGGTACACGCATCGAAAGCTCTTAATTAAAAACTGTGGAAGTGCATCTCTGGGACGATTTTCCAGCTGATCTATCTACAGTTTCACTGCCGTTCTACGCATATCTGTCTCATGTTACTTTTGGACGTTTTTCACCTTTGTTCGTAAAACAGTACTGTAAGATGCGATTGAATAAATACTTCCGATACACCCTGTGTTGTGTTCTACTCACTGCACTACTCACTCAATGACGTTTGCTTGTAGTTGTGACATCGTGTCTACAAAACAGCATTGCGGTCTTGCATCGCTCTCTTTCTCTGTTAGTTCCTCTAGCTGTTCACATCGAAGAAGGTGAGTTAATAATCAACTACATAAAATGGTCCTTCGAACCGGATCGTAAATCGGATCCTAAAGTGTTGTGGAAACAAATCAAATTCAATTCAGTGTTTGGAGTAAGAAGTCTGGAGTGTAGGAAGTGGATAATTCAAATGAGAACAGGACGGAAAAGAAGCATTTGTATGTCGGATATCTCAACCGCAAAATTCAAAATGGCGTTGTCGAAGATATGCAACATTTTTATTAGAACGACACGAGGGTCGTCAAATATTTATTTACGCTTAAATACGAGTGACACACGGATCAATAAATTCCAATAGGAATTGAGAATGCTAACACGAGCGTTAGCATTTAGAACAATGCAAGGATTGTTCAAATTTGGATTGATACGTTTGAGGATCAGTGACACGCGGGTCACAAAATTCCAATAAGAATATACGTGAAAATTATGCTAATACAAACAGTGTAAACAAAGCTAACGCGTGGGATAGTATTTTTGTAAATGGGTAAATAATTTGAAGGCGCCTGGGCCGTGAAATATAATTACCACTTGTTGATTGTAAAATGGAGGTAAAAATAAAACCCAAATTGATAATATCATGTTTACTTCGGCAGGCTAAATCATGTCAACCGACGAAGAGGAAATTTATCCGTCGGCTAACCAACCGATCCTAGTAGTTCAATCAGAACAGGAACGCTATGCTATGCAACGAGATCATGCAGTCGCGCGAATCAACGCAACAATTGAAAATATTGCTGTATTTAAGAACGATGTCTATTCATTGGAAACAAGGAGAGAAATGTTGAAGGAATGCTACAAGAACTTTGACCAAGCGCAAAGTTGGCTGGAGCAATGGATCCCGGAAGAATTCACTAAGCGAGATACGATTGACATGCAGTACGTAGGTGGCCTTGCACTGTTTGAAAAAACCATAGCAAGCAAGAAAGTGGCAACGTCGGAAACTCTGGGTAGAGACAATGTGCGCCTTCCGTCAGTTGATTTGCCAATTTTCAACGGAGGCAGTGAAAATTGGCTTGAATGGTACGATAAGTACAATGCATTGATCCACAGTCGCTCCTCTCTGGCAGTCATCCAGAAGTTCGAGTACCTGAAACTATCGCTTAGAGGAACGGCTCTGGCAATCATCGACTCACTGCCAACAACAGAGTCAAACTACGCTATCGCATATGACCTTCTAACCAAACGGTACAACAATCCGAAGTTACTGGTACAGAAGCATACACGAGATCTATTCGAATTGAAAACTGTGGAGGAGGAGTCTGCAAGTGCTCTACGAAATCTTTTCGATTCAGCCAGAAAACATCTACGATGCCTGCAAATATTAGAACAACCGGTGGAGTCCTGGAATGCCGTCCTTATTCATCTAATGGCCAACAAACTGGATGCAACAACCAGGAGAGAATGGGAATCCTCAGCGTCTGGAACCGAGCCTCCTTCATATGAAAAACTGGAACAATTTGTGTTGGACAGGTGTCAGATGTTGGATTCAATGCCAAAAAAACGTAAAACGACAGTGGAACAGTTATCCCAACAGAAAAAGTACAGAACAGAAGTCCGAACCCTGACTGTCAGAGCTGATCAGGTGCAACGGTGTATTGCCTGTGGGGATGAACACTACGTTGGAAAATGTCATCGATTCGAGCAAAAATCATTGGAGGAAAAAGTGAAGCTGATTAAACGATTCTCGTTATGCTTCAACTGTTTGAAGTCGAATCACACGGCTGACAAGTGCCGCAACAGAGGTTGCTTTAAATGTGGAGGGAAGCATCACACGTCCATCCAACGCGAGAAACCAAAGTATCAGCGAACAAACGATCAGGAAACCCGTCGTTACGAGAGCCGTGAGTAAAGCGAAATCTTTTTGATAAACATGTAATTGCTAATAAACTGTTACTTTGAATCTTTAATAAAATTTCACAGAACATCAAAGGTTGTCTGATCATTGGTCGAGCAAATCACTACTTCCAACAGCTTCAGTGGTAGTTACATCTAGTGACAGAGCACCGATCCCATGTCGAGTCCTATTAGATACTGGTTCGCAATCTAACATAGCAAGCTCAGAGTTGATTCAACACAGTGGTGCTCTAGTAACTAATGCTACGGTAAAGGTAGTAGGATTCGGGAATCGTGTACAACGGATCGAGAAACAGGCATATATAACCATTAAAGCAAGGGTATCGGATTATCAGAAAACTATTTCGGTATTGATAACAGACTCTATTACTGGCCCATTACCACAAGAGGATGAAGATATCAGTGAATGGGATCTATCTGAAACTAATTTAGCAGATGCAGAGTTCCATTTAAGTCGACCGGTGGACTTACTGTTAGGAGCAGAAGTAATGCTTGACATTATACGCGACGGGAACAAGAAACTAGCGCATCATTTGCCGTCTATTCAGAACAGTGCACTAGGATGGCTTGTAGGAGGAGATGTAACACGAATGAGAGTAAATGGAGAGGTTACTCAATTCATAAATGGAAACACTACTAGTCTACACGTACGAAGATGGTCAGAAGAGGAAACGCTTTGTGAACAGCTGTTTGTTGAAACCACTGAACGTGATACAAACGGGCGCTTTGTTGTAAGACTACCTTTGCAGCAAAACGCTCATGAGCTAGGCGAATCCAAAAGCACGGCGATGAAAAGACTGTTCCAATTGGAAAAAAGATTTCAACGAGACCCACTACTTCAAGAGGAGTATGTATCATTCATGAAGAATTACTTGGACTTGGGAACTTCGAACGTATCGAAGTTTTATTTCCCGCATCATCCAGTTATAAGGCCCGAAAGTAGCACAACAAAACTGAGAACCGTTGAATACCGTTCAGCTGAAACTTCAAGCGGTATTTCATTGAATGACGTATTAATGACAGGACCGTCGATCCAACAAGATATTTTTTATATTCTTATAAGATTTCGTTGGCCCCGGTATGTATTCACAGCAGACATCAAAAAAATGTTCAGGTAGATTATTGTCAACCAAAAGGATCGTTTACTACAGTTGATACTATGGCGTTTCTCAGCTAACGACACTGTTGGTACATATCGCTTAAACACGGTAACGGTGTTTAAAGGAGTTGGCGAAGCTGTTCAAGCAGCAATACCCTGAAGCCTGTGAGGTCCTTGAAAACGATTTTTATATGTATGATGTGTTGTGATATGCGCAGTACAGAGAAAGGAAAAATAACGTGTAGTACGGTTGACTAACTAACTCGGAATGAAACTTTATTTCTGCTTGTTGTGGTATACAGCAATGAGTGTATTTGTGTATGTGAAAGGAAGAGTGTCAAGAGAATATATATAGCACTGATATAAAAACGATCCTGTCTTTGTTGTGATTGAAATGACAAGAGTCTAACACTCCTCCTCAACGAAGACGGTATCGGTAATGGACCTGATGCCGATCGCGTTCCTGTGTCTCTCTAACTTGATCCGCTCCAAGGGCTTAGTCATCATGTCCGCTTCCATTTCGGATGTTGGAATGTACTTCAGATCGATGACTTCACGTTGCTGCAGATCCTTAGCGAATGCGTGTTTCGTATCGATATGTTTCGATCGCTTCCCAATGCGGTCTGACTCCACCAGCTTGATGCAAGACTGGTTGTCTTCCCACACAGAGATGGGCAGAAGCTGCTCCTCGTTGATGTCCTTTGAAAGCTTCAGATGCCACAGAAGTTCCTGGCATCCCTCCGCCAAGGCGATGAATTCCGCTTCTGTCGACGACATCGCAACGCAAGATTGCTTGCGCGTGCCCCAGTTCACCAATCCGCCGCCATACTTTAT